AAGTGAGAATTTCAAAGGATAGCTGTGTTTCACTTGGCATATTGTTTCCGAAAGTGTGAATTAGGTAGGTTCACTTTTAAATGGAAAATTAATTTAATTTCCCTCCCCATCCCTTATGAATTTGTATCATCACCATCATCATCATTGCTCCTGATCAGGGTTCCAGCTAACCAGCCATTCTATTTTCCAGGATACCCTAGAACAGTGGTTCTTAACCTGTGGGTCCCAGATGTTGTTGAACTACAACTCCCATCATCCCTGAACTCTGGCCTTGCTAGCTAGGGGTGATGGGAGTTGTAGTTCAACAACATCTGGGGACCCACAGGTTGAGAAAGGCTGCCCTAGAATCATAGACTCTTAGAGCTGGAAGAGACCTCAAGGTTCCGCTAGTCCAACCCTTTGCAATGCAGGAATCTCAGCTAAAGCATCCATGACAGATGACCATCCAACCTCTGTTTGAAAACCTCCAAGGAAGTCCACAAACTCCTGAGGGAGACTGTTCCACTGTCAAACAGCTCTTACCGTCAGAAAGTTTTTCCTGATGTTTAGTTGGAATCTCCTTCCTTGCAACTTGAAGCCATTGGTTCAAGTCATACCCTGGAGAAGACAGGCTTGTTGCCTCTTCCACGTGACAGCCCTTGAGATATTTGAAGATGGCCATCATATCTTCTCTTTTTGAGGCAAAATATTCTCAGCTCCTTCAACCGTTCCTCCTAAGGCTTGGGTTCCAAATCCTTGATCTTCTTGAAGAACCACATGAACCTTCATATTTAAATATCTATGTATTTTTGGATATATTCATGAATGTTGCCTTGCTCCTGCCTCACATCATTGACTTTCTACAATGGGGTGGGACAATGCACTGTGCACTGATTCTGCACAGCATGCCATGGTAAAATAGAGATAAGAAAGATGGTAACAGCTCCATGTCTCTTGTAAGAGTGGCTCACTGGTAGAGTTAAACTGGGCTTCCTCCAGTGTAAGTAGGTGGTAGGATGCATCCTGAAACCATTAATGGAAGTCATATTCTCACTTCCTACAAGTTTTCACAATGCTGTGGACCATAAGGTCTCCTCATAACTAATGAGGTGAGCAAGCTTTTGATTGCATCTTGGAGCAGCACAGATTAAAACTGCATGTGAATAGGTGGCTAGTGCTTTGCTTTTGGAAAAGAAAAGGCATGAATACTCTAGGCAGGTATTCATCTGAGAGAAGCAGAAGAAAGGATAGCGGGGGGGGGGGGATTCTGTTAAGGATTCTGAAAAAGCATTCACAACAATAATTCTCATTTTTGCAACAAGAGCAGGCCAGATTGATGAAAATCCATATTGAGATATTCCCTGATTTCTGTCCTCTCTGGGTATAGATGGGGAAGAGATTTGAATCAGTTCACATTTAAAGAGGAACCTACCAAACATTGCGAAACAATGCAAAAACCAAAACACAGCAATCTTTCAGAATTCTCCAAATTTTACCAATATTTGCAAAAATGCATACGTTAGGGGAAAGTGTGCATAAAAACGAATAGATTCGTGAAAATGCATAAAAAATGCATTATGATCTGGAAAATGCTTCCAAAAATATGTGCATTAGTCAAAGAGTGCATAAAAAATGTGTTTATTGGGCGAAATTCGTGTGAAATGCAGGAAAATTTTCATGTGGTTTATTATTATTATTATTATTATTATTATTATTATTATTATTATTATTCAGTTTGCCGCTGAAATGTGGAGACACCCAAATTTAAGACTGAAAAAAGGAGAAACTAAGACAATTTAAATCAGGCATTCCCAACCTTTGGCCCTCCAGATGTTTAGGACTACAATTCTCATCATCCCTGACCACTGGTCCTGTTAGCTAGGGATCATGGGAGTTGTAGGCCAAAACACCTGGAGGGCCGCAGGTTGGGGATGCCTGATTTAAATCCACAGTTTTGTTAATCCCTATCTCCTAGTGAAATAAATGGAAACCTTTTGTTGCTATAGGATGGGTTTGGAGAGGAAAACGTTGTTGTCATTGTCATCATCAATTCTTTTTATTATATTATGCAAGGGGGGCAAGTAGTCCTCCTTCCCACCTCCCCACTTCCCAGCCCCAGGGGCTGCCGCCACCACCGCTGCTGCTGCTGCTTCTCATGGGTAGGCAGAGTGAGCTCATCTGTCCCACTGTCTGGCTCACAGGAGCACCAGGGCGGCAGCGGAGGGAAGATGAGTGGCGCGAAAGGGTTGGCTCCGGAGAGGGGCTGCTTAAAATGGCGCTCAGCCAACTTAGTCCAGCCACCTTCCTCCTCTAGGCAGGGCGGGGAGAAGCCGGGAGGAGGGAGGGAGGAGGAGCCACCGCAGTGTGTGTGAGGGAGGGGGGAATGGCGCAGGGGGGAAAATGGTGCAGCCCAGCCCGAACGAACAGAATCCCCACACTGATCCACGGACTGTCTGCCGGCCGTATCCTGAAGGCAATTGGGCCTGATCCGGCCTACGGACCTTAGTTTGCTGACCCATGACATAGACAGTGAGGAACATAGTGTTAGAATTCCTGCTCCATGATTGCAGTCATGGGATTTTTCTCTATCACATGACGGTGTATGTTTTGACTCCACAGAGTGGGAAGTGATGGAGACAGAATGTTTGTGTTACTATGTTCTGTGAAGTGGGACTATTGTCCTTTGTTCTTTCTCTTTGCTGTCTGATGGAAGAGAGAGAGGGAGCCATGTTGCAGTGCCCCATGTGTGTTAATAAAGTAGATTAGCCAAAATGCTGAGTTGCTGAGGTCTGTTACTCAAGCTGCGAAGACTCTGCAGATCCCTAAGTGTGCCGATGTCTGTTGGCATTGGTTGCTGTGATGTTCGGGCAGAAGAAAGCTTTTGAAGCTCCCGAACGAAAGACCAGGAGGGAGAGAACGTGCCAGTTGGGCATGTGTCTCTGCCAGGGTCCTACTCGAGTGTAGGCTGAGCTCCTGACACATAGGAGGTGCCTTATACCAAGCCAGATGGCTGGTTCATCTAGCTCAGTATTGCCAACACTAATTGACAGTCTTTCCCAGCCATACATAGAAATCTCAGGGATTGAAGCAAGAATCTTCTGTACTCTACCGCTGAACTATGATCCTTCCTCTTGAAACACTGCTTAGTCCACAGTTAATGTTGACATTCAAGTGACCTTTGCATGGGCCCAATGATGCCACAACTGGATCTGCCCAAACAGGGCATGCTTAGCTTTCAGTGGCACATGCCGGACCTTATCAACTGAAAAAGATGTGGTAAAGCTATCTTGTAGGCTCTTACATTTTTTAAAAGTTATATAGATATAATATATATGCATTAAAAAGGGATGGATGCATACACACATTATTGCTGGCATCCATCTGACTTGGGAGACGATGGAGGAGCATGCCTTTGGGCTGAAGTCAAACTGTTGGGAGGTTGCAGCGCCTGCTGTGGCTGTAGAGACCGATACGGGAGAGATTTTTTTATCGCAACTGGGGCAGATGAAGGCTTTTGGTTCTGCTGCTGCAGATGCACCATGGCGTTTCTTCTCTCTGTGGTCCTCCTAGTGGTCACTCCTCCTCTGGTCACTCCTGTGGATATACAACCCGTCTACATCCAGGCACTGTGGTTATCTGCAAGGGATCCCCACATGGCAGGGTTAATGTTGCCAATCTTCATGTTGCACCTTGTGATGGCCTGGGGCTCGGGCTCAGACTTGGAGCCAGAGGAGTCTCAGTCCGCACCGGATCCTTTGCCTCAGGCGGCAGCTGAACCTATTTTGGGGCCTGATTCTCAAGAGCCCCAGTCTGCACAGGTTCCCCTGCAACAAGCACCAGCTGGGCCGAGTCAGGGGCTTGAGCCTGCCCTGGCTCCGGATGCGGGGATTACCTCGTTGCCTTCAGCCGGGCCATCACTTACAGCTGCTCCACTACCAGTTGGGTCAGGAGGTGGCTCCTGGGTATAGTAACCCACCAACATCTCCCGAGCTGCAGAGACTGAGGTCTGAGAGAAGAAGAGACCTGAGTACTCGCAGGAGGAGTGCTCGCCTTTGGGCGAGACAGGGAGGTGAGTCACCAGGGGATCAGGACCGGCCATTACCCCGACAGAGATAAAAGGCTGCTGGACCCCATCCCAGGTTGCAGGAGCAACATTCCTGTTTGCCAGAACCTGCCTGTGATCCTGTGCCTGACCTTGCCTGGTTTCCTGCCTCACTGACTCCTCGCTGAACCCTTGGATTTGGGACCAGACCTGGACCGCGTTGCTCGGGTTACCCCCGGGCCCAGCACACATCTGCAGACATCTTTGTAACACAGAGTTGGTCTGCCAATGGGCCCAGTGCCTGAAGCCAGCTCCCCTTGAACAGATCCTTGGGGATCCTGCCATCTTCCATTCTGTGTACATGACCAAGCCAGTGCATACCCAGTTAATCCAGGCAACCTTTTCTTCTGTTGAAAGCTTTTAGAGATCAATTTATCAGTTAAGCATTGCAGTCCCAACTGATTCAGGAATTTCATCTGTAAGGGATGTGAAAGGAGGAATGGAGAGTGGTTTTATTTAAGACTGATCTTGTGTGCTGCAAGACTGGTTACCATGCTCTCTTATTGCCATGTCGTTGTCCTGATTAATCTGGAAAGTTGTTAGGAACACATAAATTCAGAACTCAGCACACGCACTTAGGCCACAGTCCAACATGTTCTTTAGTTTGCTCTGGGGCCCACGGCAATCAACTCTGCATTGCCTTGTAGTCTCTGTCTAGTCTTAACAATTCAGTAGTACCTGCTGCCTTTGAAAACGAAAATGTGAGGGCAACTTTTTAAACCAAAAGCATAGAATGGGAGACATTTGCTGGAAGCATTTAAAGGTAATTGGAGCCCTACCAACCGCAAAGGGCTTGCAAAACTGGCGACTCTTCCTCTAAAAGGAACGATTTACTCCCTGGGAATAGGGAAGGAGCTATTGATTTTAGGCAGATGTCTGCTTCTCCCATGATCTGTAATTGTAAGTGCTACATACTTACTGAAGCAGCTTTCTCGCCGGCCCATACTCCATTTGTGGCCAAGGGGAGAGTCTGCTCTTGAAAACCTTCTCTCTGGGGGTAATTATGAAAAATGCCACAGACCCTTCAGCCCAGGTTCTGGCAGCCTAAGTGCGGAGACTGGAGGGAGGAAATTAACCAGGGAGGTCGATCTTTTCAGCTTGCCAATTGTGGCGCAATGACTACAGTATTGGACCCTGCCATCTGCTGCTATTTGGCACGGCTGCTCCACAGGAGGACAGAGCCGGCTATTGTCTTCGACCTTGGCAGAAGAACCTGGCACAGAGCCGGCAAGTCTGCTGCCTTCGAGGAGAGATAGGAAGGGACGGAGGGAGGTTGCGTCAAACTGACAGGAGTCCGCTCTCTCTGTTCTTTGATCTGACAGAACCACTCCGAAAGAAGTGAAGGAGAATTTCTAAGGCATTCAGTACCTATAAGAGCCAGCGTGGTGTAAGTGGTTAAGAGTAGTGGACTCGTAATCTGGTGAACCGGGTTCGATTCCCTGCTCCTCCACATGCAGCTGCTGGGTGACCTTGGGCTAGTCATACTTCTCTGAAGTCTCTCAGCCCCACTCACCTCACAGAGTGTTTGTTGTGGGGGAGGAAGGGAAAGGAGATTGTTAGCCTCTTTGAGACTCCTTAGGGTAGTGATAAAGCGGGATATCAAATCCAAACTACTCTTCTTCTCTCTTCCTATAACCGGTTGGTTTAAAAACAACGGCACCAGATTTGGGCTGTGGGAGGAATTTGATTCTGTTTGCATTGAAAGATATGCTTGTCTCGTCCACACTTTCTGAACAAGGTTCGAACTGAAACAACCATCCCTTGAACTGTGCACTTTTCTGAATTTTGCGATGCAGTTCAAGTAATGGGTACAAAGATGCACATGGTGTGGTAGTGGAAATACCAAGGTATTTTATCAAGGTGAACTAAGCTTGGCAGGACAGCTTACTCTATGGCATTAACCCCTTCATGCATTAATTAGACTTAATCATGTTGGCTTTATGAGGCAGGTTATCCCACGTTTAGTCAGTGTGAATTTGCTAACGTTGTGATTCTTCACGTCCCCCCTGAAGTAGGAGGGTGAACGAATGAGGGGACATGCCCTGCCTCTCCATGCATATGTGAATGATGAAATCCATGTTCATGTACACGGAAACATCACATGTTGCACAGCCTCTCATTTGGCATACTGCAGCTGCTGCGATAAATCTTAATCCCCCCAATATAACTTTAATTAAAAGATCTTGTTACCCTCCTGGCTTTGACACTAGCAGAGCGCATGGCTGTCACTGAGTAAATAAATACAGCAGGCAGCAGGAGGTTAAGAGCCTCTGGCAAAGTTTAATAGTGGAGAGGGTGGAGTTTGCTATGATTTGAAATTAGGGATGGCTACAAGCATGTTATTTATTTGCATACACACACACACACACACACCCCTGGTAGCTTGCTTGCCTGAGCTTTGCCCTTGTGTATGCCTGTAGCTTTCATTCGCAAATGTCTGTACCGCTAGACAAGTTGGGTCATGCCATTTTCCCTTTGCAATATTACGCAAGGCATTTTAAAGTCATGCGTATTAGGTCAAACAAATAGGCTGTTCACTTCCATCCTCCCCCAGCCCTCACTCAAGAGGTGGCAGAATATTTACCTTATGCCAAATACTTCTCTGTCCATACATGCAGACCTCAGGAAGGAGGGGGAGGGGGCGGAACGGGGAAGTCATTTTCCACTTGAAAGTGCCTCGCATCTCTTGAGACTCCTGTCTCTCTACAGCGATAAAAACCACAGTTCAAATATTTTTGGCAGTAAATTTCAATACTTTATGCTCACAGAGTGTCATTATTGGTTTAACCTTAAGGACTGTTTTACCTAGAGCCTAAAAAGGCAGGGGGGGGGGAGGAGGGAAAGGAATACATTTTTAACTCCTCCCCCCACCATTCAAAGCCTACATTTCAGTGTATGGAATCCCAATGGAGAGACTTGTGCTACAATCCTATATGCATGAGTACAATGGGATTTACTTCCATTCCAGGTAAATGTTTCAATAACTGGTGCCCTGAGAATGCCTCTGAAATCACAGTGTAAATGTTGAATGGTGTTTTTGAATTTTGGACTGAGGTTTATGAAGGCACAAGGAGCAGAACTAACCACTATTAAGACAGGTAGCAGGAGGGAATTGCAGCAAGCCCATTCAGGGGCAGAGGAAGGGGTGTGTGGTAGGTGCGGGCTGCCCCGGGTGTCACCACTGATGAGAGTGCTGGAGGTGAAATAGTTAAACAGGTTACCCAATCAGAACCCAGGAGGGTGGAGTCAGAGGGACTATAAAACCAGCTCTGGGAGGGGCAAAGGGGGGAATTCATTGGGAGTTGGGTGGTTGGTTGGAGTGGGAGTGAATTGGGATAGAGTCTGTGGGTAGCTTGAGTTAGTGTAGAGAAATAAGCTGAGTCACGAACAGTTAGGAGCTAGGAAGACAAGTAAATATCGGAGGTGGTTTAGTGAGGGAGAGCAGGTAGCGAAATTTATAGGTCTGGATAGGCACCCCATGATCATAACTGACCAATACCGTTTATGAAACCACGCGCTTGTTAAACTGCAATAAATAAACAGAAGTTTATGTTCCAATTTAACCCTGACTGGACTCAGTATTGTACCAGGTAGGGCCTGGGTGGTGGCAGCGAGAAATAAAGTGGTGGCATAGAGATCAATAGATGGTGAAATGTCCAGGGACCCTGTGTGATCGCCACACCAGGTGTCACTCACCACAGGGCCTGCAGCCCGTCCTGGGAGTGATGCGGTGGATTGAGTGCTCACAGGCTCTGCACTACCCCAAACGGTCCGCCCGCTGCCTCCCCCTCAGCTGTAGGGCTGCTGAGTAGGAGGAGGCAGGCAGACTCTGGAGGCCCCGCAGTGCACCCTATGGGCAGCTTGCCCCACCCCTGGGTGTGCTGTCCCAGGCGCCCAAGCAGCTTCCTCTGCCGCTGAGCCCATCCTCAGGAGTTTAGATTTTGCACCCACTTCCTCAGTGCAAAATACTTTACTTTTTTCCATTGGTCAAAATCTGTATGATATAGCTCCTTCTTAATTGCTAGCATATCAGCTGCGTAACCCCCAGTCCCATTTGAGTTCCACTCTCTCATTTATGAAAGGCTTTGGCCCATGCTAGAAGTGTGCGCTTCAGTAAATGTCTTAATTTTTCACAGCAAAAGCTGCAGAATTTTTCAGCACCGCTAAAGACTCTGCCCATCTGAAATGCGTCTCTTTTTATGTACTATTTTTTTTTTATTACATTTCTATCTCTGCCTCCTTCTAGGGAGTTTAATGCCTTACTAAAAGCTAACAGTAAAGTACTAAAAGCTAACAGTAAAGTTTGAGAACTGGAAATAATTCCAATTGTCTTGTCTTTGTTTTTGTTTTACAACTGCACCGCAGACCTAAATGATCAGTTTCTCTTTCCCAGGAAATCCTGGGAACCTTAACCCTGCAGGAAATCTGTAGGAGAATAGCAAGGGAGAGGTTTGGGAGTGATCAAGGAGAGGTTTTTGGGTGCAATCAAGCTCACATTCATTAAGTGCAGCAGATCTCTAGGGGAACCCAAACAGGAGTAGCTTTAGCATTCCTGGATACTTTGGAGGGGTTCCGCAACTGGAATAAAACAATTATGTTTGATGTCCTATAGATACGCCCTAAATGCTGGTTTTACACATCTAACTCACTCTGACTTCTTTCTTGTATTTGAGATGTGGGAGGGTTTGTTGGCTACATTTGGATATTGCTGAAGCTGTGAAATAGATCCCAACACTGAGAGCACGAAAAGAAAAGAAATAGCATATGGAATATTGAAAATCTCCCCTTGCATGGGAGGAAAAGAAACCCCAGTTTGGTTAAGTGCTCATAAAGATGTTTCCTTGCGCCATATGGCTGCCCTGTACAATTGCATACACTGAGGAAAGTGGGTGTCATTCTGAACAAATACAACCTATTACGACAGAAGGCTTTGTTGCTGATCATGCAAAAGAGGGGGCATTGAGAAAGGGCACTTAATAAGTGTGCCTATATCATATACTCTTTCCTCGTCTATAAAAGTAACATACCCAACACTGCCCCCTGCAGCTTTTTCTCTATCGAGCAATGGAGGGTTTTGCTTTCATAAGTGATTATTTTCTCTCTCAACATCTTAGGCACTCCTTCCCTTAACTGACATCTCTCATACACATTCCTTTCGTCCAACACCCTATCGTCATGAGAATATGTTCCAAGCAACCTTAGCTGCAGCTAGGAAAGGAGTGTTGTCTACTGTAAGCTCTTTAATAAATTTTATGTCGTAGGGTCAAACAAGCTCTAGTCTGAACTGATCGAGATCTTTAGGTATTCATGGAAGCAGTTTTCCTTGTACGTGAAGCCTTTGGTTTTGGACTGCCTTGGACTCACTTGGATGGAATGGACGGGGCTGTGTGTGTGATGATTCTACACCTGTGCAGCTTAGCCCCACTGTTTGAAGCACAATGTTGAAGTCCTTGCTGACGAGGGAGCCCTGTGGCTGCAGCTTGGTGGGCACAGCATCACTGAGCGCTGGTGTGTTGTAGCAGACAAAATTGTGTGCAGGAAAGTCCCCAGTTCACATTAGCTGTAAAATCACTTGGCAGCAAGGCACTATCCCCATGTGCAACAGATGGAGATTTCCTATGACTTCATCTTCATGCTGGCCAAACTCCCACCTGTTGAATTTCAGCCTGCTATTCAGCTCTCTGTAGGGAGGGGGGAAGAAATGGATTCAGTTTGCATTTTGTAGAATCATAGCACTGTAGAGTTGGAAGTACCCAGGGGTCATCTAGTCCAACCCCCTGCAATGCAGCTAAAGAACCCCCGGCAGGTGTCCATCCAGCTTCTGTTTCAAAACCTCCAGTGAAGGAGAGTCCACCATCTCCTGAGGTGCTGGATCCATCAAATTTGCAGTTTGCAAAATGAAATGTGTAATTGCCTTGAGACAGTTATTTAGAAGGCAATAAATAAACCAGTGGTAATGATTATAACCTCAGTTCCTTTCCTGGTCAGTCTCTCCCTGCTCAGAACCCATCCGTATAT